AATCTGATAGGGTCTGAAGCATGATCCCGCTGTTACCAGGCAAGAATCACTTTCAAGTGAGAACTCCGGTGAGCTTTGCAAAGACTGGAGCAGTACATCGGGATCCGCGAACTCTCCACACCTCCCGGGCTTCCCAGTTGCACTTCTCTGCCTGGGAGCAGAAGCAGAGGTGCTGACACTCAGAGAAAAAGCCCTGCTGACCCTCCTGAGATCCAGGGCTGGGTGCCCCAGAATACCGGGCGTGACTCTTCCCTTTTCACTACCTGTAACATGTATTATAACTCCAGGTACTTTCTCCAGGAACAATTTTTCTGTTTTGTTTTTTTGAGACAGAGCCTCACTATGTAACCCATGCAGGCTTGAACTCTAGGTGATCCTCCTGCCTCAGCCTCCCCAGTGCCAGAATTACAGGCATGCCTGGCTCTTCCAAGAACAATATTTAAGAAGACCTATAAAGTGCAGAGAAGTTCACTATCGAGAAATGTGCAGAATTGATATAATCACCTCTCTGTGTATCTGCAGCCTTCAGACCATGTGGGTGCGCCTTCTACCCAGATGGGCAGGTAAAGCCATCGATCAGGGAGAACTGGGGCTTCATTACTGGCTTGATTGGAGATGAACATAAGCTGTGTGGCTGGCTTTTTAGTGTAAAACAGCAGCCTGGGCACCCATTCTCGGGCACCAAGTAGACCCTGGCGGCCAGCAGGCCTGGCTTTGGGAGTCACAGGTGTGTACAGTAGCAAAGGTGGCGCTGCCTTTTACAAGCATTCATACTGAGATTTAAAGCTTGATTATTTTGGAAGACACCTTGAAAACTGCAGTCACCTCGAGGAGCTACACCGTGGTTTTAAGTGGCCCCGGTAGCTGGCCGCGGCTTCTGGTCACAAGCACAGCCATCCTTGCCCCGGGTCCACTTCAGGTCTAACTTGACCCTGCTTGGTCCAGCTCAGCAAAACCCTCTGCTTTCCCCTGCACCGGGGAAAGGGCTCAGAGGAAAGGCGGCTGGGTGGGCCTGTGGCCGTGAGAACCCGCCCCTTGAGACTGGCCAAGACCCTGGCGTCCTGACCTCCCTCCGAGCTCGGCCTCTTCCCTCCCAGCACCTCGGGAATTCAGGGGGCCAGCCAGGACCCTGTGACGCCCAGCCTGAGTGCCTCCTCTTGCACCCAGGGCTTCGCCTGCCCGGCATTGCACCTGCTGTCCTGACCCTGCGGCCCGGCTGGGGACAGTGCCTCCTGACCACTCACAGTCCCCACAGCCCCGCGGTGTGGCCCACCTCCCACGCCCTTCCTACCACCCTAGGCCCCAGGTCCGGCCTGGACGGAAAGACCTGGACTTCCATGAATGCACCCCAAGTCTCGTCTTCAGGGTGAAGCTCTCGGCCTTGGGGATTTTAACTACAGCTCTCTTGGAAGGCTGAGCACTTTCCATTTCGCTCCAGAGTTACTGGAGTGTATGTTTCATCTCCCTTATAAACCCAGCTCCTGCAGACCACCCCGATTCCTTCCCCTCTGTCCTCCGCGGGGAACAAGGCCAGCGCCGAGAAGGAAATGTCGAGCGCCGCACCTTGCCACAAGAGGGCCCAGGCGCGCCACTCTTTCTGGCGTCACCATAAGAGGAGCAGTTTCAGAACAGAGAAGCTTTTCCCCGAGGAAAGTGTCCTCGTGAATCTGGTTACAGTACATGTAGATGCACTGGGTGTGGTTACAAACTGCGTGCGGTTGCAGATGCACGCACCTCACACTGACACTAGATATGGCTTTCACACTGACTGTTCTAAGGCAGTAAGTCAGAATATAGGTGATCCAACTGCGGTAAGACATCTATTCTTAAATATTCACAGGGAGAAGTGTCTGGAAAAATATCCACAAAACTGTAAGCAGCTGTTATCTCTCCACAGGATGGAGCATAAGTGGAGATTTCCCCTTCCACTTTTCATCTTTCTGGATTTTATATAACCAAATACTTCTCTTTCCTCCAGTGTGGGGGCTGAAATCGGGACTCTGAAATGAGCTATATCCTCACTTTTTCCATGATTAATTTTGACAGAGTTTTGCTAAGTTGCTGTTGTCCAAGCTGAGTTCAAGCTTTTGATCCTCCTGCCTCAGCCTCCCAGACTGCTAGGACTACAGATGTATGTGCCACCACACCCAGCTTAAGCTTATAATCACAAGAGTAAACTATTGATTTAAAACATCACAAAGCCAAGTGTTTATCTGATCCCTGCTGCCGGCTCATCTTCAGTCCCATGTCAGTAGACGCACCATCAGGAATAGATGAAACCAGTTCCCAAACTCTCCTCTGTACACCGCTCCCGTGGTCTTGGTCATTTCTATGCTCCCCTGGGAAGAAAGAAATACCTAGCAGTTCCATTTGGTAAGCAGTAAATTTCTAAAATATTTAAGTATCTATATCCTAACAATTTAGTATTTACTTGAGAAATTAATCCACACAGATTTTAGCCAACAATGGTTTACCCCATTCTAAGCTGATCGCGGCAGCCTACAGGGTACAAGTGCACTGCGGTCCAGGGGAATCTGTGTGGCCCCCGCGTGCCAATCCCTGGCCCACACCGACTCCCAGGAAGTATTCGGATTTTTGCACCCTGAGAGCTCCCTGCAGCACCCCGAGCTTCGTGCATGAAAGCTGCTTCCCTGGCAAAGGAGAGGCAGAGCCACCGAGGGCCACCCCCAACTCGCCAGCCTGAGCTCAGTTCGCTCCTCCTCTCTCTGCGCCAGGTTCTTTTGGCAGGAGGAGAGCAGGAGGACGGTGTGGGGAGCGGGCAGGAGGACTCTGGGGATCTTCGCACCCCGTCCCCCCCAGGACCTCTCCTCTCATCCTCTCCCGACCCAAGAGCAGCACCGCCCAGACTGGCACCTTCCTGGGCAGCAGCCACAGTCGTTCTTGGTGGAGCCCAGGACTGGATTCCCACCCAGCCCAGAGCTTTCCAATCTGGACCCAAGTTCTGAGGCCTCCAGGAGACCCAGGACACACAGGGCCCACACAGACTGGACCAGCAGCCCCTCCGCAGCCCCTTCTCTTCCAGAGTTTGCAGGGACTCACCTGCCAGAGGTCCCGGCCACAAGGCCACACTGCACCAAGCCTCAAAGCTCTTCTCCTCCTCGGGGGCTGATTGCGCCGGGCTCTCATCCTCAGTGAGATACTTTGCAATTCTCCATGGTCAATGTGAGCACAGCGCAAGCAAAGCTGGGAGGAAGACAGCTCCAGCTTGCAGGGAAAGAGGCCCCGATGGGAGCTGGGACGCTAGGGTGGACAATGGCCTGAGGGGCTGGGGCGGATGCATCCCTCGTGGGGAGCTCCGACGTGAGCCACCAGCAGCCCACCTGGAGGGCAGCACCGTGGTGGTGTCCTGCATCTGGGAGCTCCAGGAGAGGTCATGTCAGACAGCAGGCCGCTGTGGCTAGGGGCTGGAGTAAGGCCGGGGCTGCTGGCCCAAGGCTCACAGTTTCCAGCCTGTGGCAACGGTGGCCCAGCCCCTAAGTCTGAGCACCCCGGGGGCCGTGCACCTAGGGACAGCCCCATGCCACGTGTGCACAGTGCACTAGACTGCCATTGTTTAAAAACCACAGGGACAACTTTCTGGTGCAGGAAGCATTGATTGCCCTGGAATCGTGTCCCTCGGTGTTGCAGGGAGTGGCACACCGCAGGGGTGAGCCCTGGGGTGGGGGCAGCAGAAGGGACTGTGCTGAGCGAGCACAGGGACAGAACCAAACCTGCCTCTCCCGCCTGGGCCTCAGGGGGATGAACAGGACCGGCAGGAGGAAGACGCCCCAGTGACATCCAACCCGGGGCGGCAGGTTCGGTTCTCTCCCTGTGCGCGCTGCCAGACACCTGCACACCCCCGTCACAGGCTGCACCTGCCCTGAGTGTCGGAAACCCAGGGCTCAGCACCCCAGAACCTGGCGCTGCCACAGAGGTAAGCGGCAGCTGGAGGCTGGGTGGCACCACTCTGCCCTCTCCACAGCCATCCCCTCCTCGCCCTCCGTCCCCTGAGGAGGGACAGGGACGACTGGCCTTGGTGTCCGCCTCTGGCAGGAGGTGGTGCGGCTGCCCCAGTCTCCTCTCCTGCCCCTTCCACGTGATTCTGAAGCCTCTCTGCAGCAGCAGCTGGGACACTGGCCCCCGCGTGCTGAGGAGCCAGGCCCACCCTTCCCTCCCCACCTCCCATTACGGTTTGTGGGTTTGTGTCTGGAGGTCCCCTCAAAGTCTTGTGCAGTCGTAGGGTTTTCACAGAGGCAGCTGAATCTGGAGTCTGTGACTGACTCGTGGTCCAGTGCCGGGACTAACGGTGTGACGACTACTCCCACCCCAGGGCAAGCAGCCTGCATACAATGTAAGGGACAGAAAGAGCTTTGTCGCTCGCTCTCATTGCTTTGCTGTCTCCTGCCGTGAACTGTGGCCCTGCGCCATGTGCCACTCTGCCTTGGAGCCAGCCGGCTGTGGACTGAAACCTCCACAAACCGTGAGCTAAATAAACCTTTCCAGCTGGGGATACAGCTCAGTGGCACAGCACTGCCCGGCAAGTGTGAGGTCCTGAGTTGGACTCCTGGTACCAATAAATAAATAAGCAAATCTTTTCCCCTTGAACTCTGGGTGTCAGGTATTTTGTCTCAGTAACCAAAGTAACTAAGACGGAGCTGAGATAAACAGCCAGCCCTCCTCAGGCTCCCTGGTCCTGGCCCTGCCACTGCTACCCAGACACAACAGCTATCAGTCAAACAGCTCTGGTTTCTGTTCCTCCACACTGTTGCCATGACAGCCGCAGCACCCTGGATGTCCCACACCTGCTCCGGGAAGTGTCTGCCCTGGCCACAGTGAGCGTGATTGCAACCAAGCAACAGAGCTGAATTTCCACCAATCAGTGAGCTGGAGCCAGAAGGTTTGCACTCAGGCCAGTTTGGGCCAATCAGCAGGCTTGAGTTTGGACCTATCAGAGGCCTGCTGCTGCTATATAAGCAGCACTCCCCATGCAGTGGCAGCTGGTCCAGGAGGCCCCATCCTGCTCACCGTCCCAGGCTGCAGCACAGGCCCTGTTCAGACGGGGCCCCCTCCAGGTCCTGTAAATCTGGTTGTGATCTATTTCTCTGTATCGTGGACTCAGAAATCCTGTAAATCTATTCAGGGAAACCCTGAGTGATGTGGCAGAGCGGTAGCTTTAGAAGAGCTGTGAACACCAGGGGCTGTCAGCCCTGAGGAGCCTGGAGAGCAGCAGCCCATGCAGATCAGCTGTGGAGCAGCAGACAGGAGAGCTGACCACGGCAGCGAGTGTCGACCGGAAGCGGCCAGCAGCCCACAGGACCGGTGCCCAGCATCCACAGCAGAGTCGAGTGGGGAACCCAGGCCCAGAGCCCTGGTGCTCAGTGCTCAGGGCTGAGGGACATCGGTGCTCAGAGCGCAGAGCCCAGAGAGCATGCACAGCTGGGGACAGAGGCGGGGCCTCGCTCTCTGGCACTGCTGGTCTTTTTAGACTTTATTCTCTGTGGCTGGTTCCTCCTCCTCTTGGGGTCGCCTTGTCACCTCCAAGCCTTCCAGCCTGGTTTACTTCCTGCTGCGCCCAGCTCACCATCTCCTCCTCCATGCTCCGGGAGTCTCAGTTCTCCCAGTCACCGTCTGGGCTGGTCCAGCAGCCTGCGTCTCTCAGCTCCGGGGGTCTGAGCCGCGGATGGGCAGGAGGAGGCCCGGGCACACTGCTGCTGCCAGCCACTGCCAGGCTGAGAGGGCTGGTGGCCCCCACTGCCCCGGGGCCCGGGCCCAGCACTGCCCCGCCGTCAGGTTCTCTGCCGTTCCCTCTCCCACTTCTCCCGGCAAACCCAGCCAGGTGAGCTCAGTTACTTCCTCCCAAGCAGGCAGCAGGGTTCCAGCCACCCGCACTCCCCTGTCCCCTCCCTCCGCCACTCACTCCTGGCCCTGGCGCCTGGCAGAAGCCTCAGCCTTTCCACTGAACCCCCAAAGCTCCCAGCTGCAGGAACCTCAAGGTTCACCGTTGTCTCTGACTGGACTGCAGGTCCTGGTCAGAGATGTGAGTGACCCAAGAGCTGTGTGGCCTCAGCGGCAGGACAGGACCCCTCACTACAGGGCTCCCAGACCCCAGCTCTCCCACCACCCAGCCATTCCCACAGAGACCCCATCCCCAGCCACGCAGAGACCTGCAGCCCCTGGGCGTGGCCAGTAGGTCAGCCAGCTGGAGCCCACAGCCGCCCCAGAGGAAGGCCTGACTCCCACAGCGTAGCACCATCCCGCGTCCCCCGGCCGGAGTCCAACACAAGCACAGCGATTCTCGCAGCTCGCTGTCAGCCGCAGGCACAGGGGGGTGCTTGCAGGCCAGCAGGTTTGAGGCCCGCAGTGGCCAGGCCTGGGGAGAGCTCGGTTGCCGTCTGAGGCTGAGGCCTGCTGCTCCCATCCTGGTCCTTGGGCTTTGGGCCACACTGCGGGTGGGACCTAGGGACAGCCACACTCCGGGACGGCTGCAGAGCTTTCCTTTAATTCTCCTAGTAGCCCCTCTGGGGAGTGCATGGTGGTCACGCTCCTCGTGGGGAGCTGGTGCATGCCACGGCAGCTCTCCATCCCTCCCTTTCCTCCCCCTCTGTTGCTTGGCTCCTTCCCACTGCAGATCTTTTTCGTGTTGTCTATCTTTTATCTTGGTTTTTTACAGTTGTTTATACTTTGGGTTTCTCGTATAAGAGAAACCGTGCGATATTCAAGATTGTGTGTCTCATTTATTTCCCTTAACATTCTGGTCTCATAGGGCATCCAGTTTCCTAGAAAGGGCTCGGGTTTATCCTTCTTCAGGGCAGCGCAGTGCTCCACCGTGTGGGAAAACCACACCTTCTCCACCCCTCTGCTGATGGACACAGCTGCTTCCAGGGTGTAGCTGTCCTGAGTTGTGCTGTTCTTGCGGGTTCTGTCGTTAGTGTCCACCGAATGCCGGTCCTGTGGACTCCGAGGCACAGGAGAGGCAGGCGCGGGTCTCAGACACAACCACAAGCGAACAGCTCGTACTTCCTAGGGGCCGGGGCGAGCGTGGAGGCTCTCGGGGCATCACTCCAGACGCAGGTTGGCACTTGAGGAAAATGAGACCCCGCAGTGACACAGGGTGACCAGGAGGCAGGTGCCGAGCAGGGCAGGGAAAGGCATTCTAGACCCGGAACAGAAGTGCAGGCCCCGGCCGCTCGTTAAACGCTGAGGCAGAGTTTGAGGCAGGGTTTATGACGACTCCAAGTTCTCGAACCCCATTCAAGGTAGGGCAGGAGTTATAAAGATTATAAAGATCAAAGTGCCGTGTCGGAAAGAAATTTCCCCTTGGCGTAAGTACTCGGGAGAGTGTGCATGGATGCACGTGGTATTTGCATTTATCCGTCTGGTAAGGGTCTTTTCACAAAGCCTTTCATGTGTCTTCTTCTTTAAACTTTTATAGCGGCCGAAAGGCTGATAGCATCTCTAACTTCAGTGCGGCGTGCGGCTCTGCGCTCTCTGCGCCCGGCGGATGCGGGCTTCCCTCCCTGTGCCGGAACTCGCAGAGTGCGGTTCCACTGCAGCTGTGCAGAGCGAGCCGGCTGGCGGGAGGCGCGGAGCCAGGCAGAGGCGGCGACCCCTGCTCCTGTCTCGCATCAGAGTCGGGAGGAAGAGAACTCGCCGTGCACACGTCGGGCTGCTTGCCTCTGGTCACCGTGCTGTTAAGTCTGTTTCTGTCCACAGCTTCTCAGCTCCGGGCTCCAGGCGGGGACAGAAGCTGGAAAGTGGTCGTCGCAGGCCTGCGGCAGTGGTCGCCCTGAGCACCCGCATCTGGCGCCGGTTCGATTTTCTCTCCACTCTGGACAGAGCTTCTTGGGGAGCCTTGGGGTCCCACCTCGCTCCTCCCTGGGCTCTTAAAGCCAGGTGCATTGGAAGAGGGGAGGAAGACCCTCTGCCGGGCCCAGAGATCCCCCTTCCCGCATGATTTCTAGAAGGGACTCAGGTTCAGGCGCAGAAGGCCCAGGCAGCAGTGAGGCTGGGGACAGTGACACTCATCCTCAGGGACACTGGAGCAGGGCAGAGGGAGAGGACGAAACCTGCTCCCCTGCGCTGGCCCTGCAGGACACTGGTGGTTTGTCTTGGGTCTAAACTCAGGCCTACGGACCTGTGTGCACTGTCCAAGCCCTGTCTCCGGCCGGCCGGCAGCCTGGCGCCCCTCCCCTGCGGAGGACACTGGAGTCTTCTCTGGTGGACCTGACCGGCCCAAAAGAAGACAAAAGCGGCCGGTGTGCGGGGCTCCTGATCAGACCCCGAAGGGCCACCCCGCCCCGAGCCGGGCTCATGGCTGACACACGCACCCTGCACATCGTGCCCTCTTTTCTGTCCCCTGGAGGTGGCCAGGACCCACCAGACAGGAGGAGGAGGGAGTGGTGTCAAGGGCGCGGGTGGGTGAGCAGGACGCGGCTGTCTTGTAAGAGGACATCAGAGTCTTGGCACTAAGCATAGGACACAACGACTGCGGCTCAAACGCACAGGTGAAAGCACATGAAAACAGAAGACGCAGCCCTAGAGGCCGACGGCGGCCGGGCGGGGGGAGCTGGACTGGGCACCGTGCTCCGCGCCAATGCTGAGGGGCACCTCTGCGCCACACCCTGTGGGACAGCAACCGCTTCATCCGTGTGGCAGAAGAGACGCCCGCGTGTGTCCCAGGCCAGGGTCCCGCAGCCCGACTTCCGGGGAAGGTGGAGCTGAGCGGGGTGCCCCTAAAGTCTGTGCCCGGGGACAGCCCGGATCCCCTGTGGGGAGAGTGTAGCACTCCGAAACTCCCACGCAGCCCAGTGTGAAGCAGCAAGGGGCCGAGTCCAGCCGGGCTCGGATGCCCACGTTCTCGAAACCTGCCACAGCCCCCGGCTTTCCCGACCTGTGGTCAAGCGGGGTTAGGAATGTTAAGTGGAGAATTCTGGAAATAAACGGTGCCCAACTGCACCCCACCTGGACCGCAGGATGAGGCCCTGCGCGTGCACGCGCTGCTGTGCCCTGGGGGCTCGAGTCTCCCTTCCCCTTCCTGCCACACCCACCTGGGGGGCTGCTGGTGACCAGGCTGCCCCTCGGCTGCCGTGCTGTGCTGGAGAAACCCTTGTGTGACTCAACAACGGCCCCGGCATGCAGGAGTCACCCGCCGTGCCCAGGAGCACCCAGCACAGGTTGGGGTGGACTCTGGTTCTAGGTGGCAACCCGCCAGGGTGCAGGAGCGCTGAGACCGAAGCTTAGGGTCAATGTGGCCCAGAAACAAGACCTCCTCGCTCCCTCCCTCAGACACCTAAGAAACCTGGCCTCACGGAAAGACCACCTCTCACAGTGTGAGGAGGACGCAATGGTGGTGACCACAGGACGTACAGCAGAGCCCCAGGGAGCCTGGCTGGTCCTCCAGCGGCTTGGGGAGGGGTGCCATGCTTGGCCGGGGCCCACAGAGGGGACGGTGGCACCAGACTGCTGGGCTGCGGGAATGACGTCCATGTGTCCCGCTGCGCTGTGCACCAAATGCACTGCAGTGAGGCCCAGCGGAGCCGACACCTCGCCAGCGCTGAAGCCCAGTGAAGACCCAGGCCCTGGTCCTGCGCGCCCCAGCTGGTCCTGTGTGCCCCAGGTGGCTTCGGCTCTTCTTTCCTCAGAGCAACTTCCTCTGTCACCACCTGCCCAGCTACTGGCCTCTTCCTTCCAGCGGAGTCAGCTTCCAGCTGCGGAGAGAACTCGCTCTGACCATTTTCAAAGGGAGTCAGAAGGGCAAACAGAAGCGCAGAGTTGGAAGAGCTGGGGTTGAACCGCAATGGCCGAGAGCGGCCGGTGTCCCCCGAGCCCTCCATCCCTCTGAGTCCTTGCCCGGCCTGGCTGCTCCAGTCTTCAGAAACTGTTCTGCTGATAGCAGCCACAGTCTCTCGCGGGGTGGTCTTCGTGGGCCCTCCGAGGCCGAGTGGGGCCCCGGGGGACGGCAGTCCCTGGGAGGGAAATACCTCTCCATCCAAGGACACCTTGAGGCTGGTGAGCAGTCTGCACCGGCCGGCGTTCCCGCCTGCCCGAGCCCACCGTAGACATCGGCTTCTGATGAGCAGAGGCGCCGTCAGTGCCACGGCGGGAAGCAGCGACTCCTAGCTAACTCTGCTTCAGGTGGCCGCGAGGACGTCCACGGTGAGCCCCGTGCCTCGCCGAGCGTGTGGCCCGGAGAGCAGACGGGGACGCGAGCCCGCGCCTCTCACAGGTCTAACAGACCGGACCTGCGACCCTTCAGCGTAAGTCAGAGCCAGGCTGCGTGGTGCACGCCAGGACGCTTCCGGTGTTCACGTCAGCAGCGGCTCTGCCCCGGCAGTGCCTTGCCCATCCAGGCCAGGGGTGAGGAGGGAGAGCACTGGGGCACTGCCGGGAGGGTTCTGGCCCTGAGAGGAGTGTGGCACGTCAGGAGGCTCCTCTGCTCTGTTCTCCCTGCCCGTCTGTCTGGGTCCCTGAGGACACAGCACCCAGAGCCACTGCAGTCATTCACAACTGTGAGGAAACGGCACGACACCGAGGGGAGTCTGGGACACAGCACCAGTTGGCATGTTCCACCTTCCACTGGGAGGAGTCAGTCCCTACACGTCAACCGCTTCTCTCTGTAAGTAATCAGAGATTTAATTCTTTATCCAGTAGCCACTCCATGCTGGGCCTTCCAGACAACACAGATTCTTTAGAGTCCAGCTTGGGTGCTGAAAAAGACCCAAGACTCATCTTTTTGACTATACAAATGCGAAGCCTAGAACCACCGCAGCCGGTTTGCCTCCAGGAGGCAAATCAGGCTATGCATGAAGCTGATACCACAGAAGGCGGGACAAACACAGGAGAAAGCTAAGTCCCTGAAAACATGAAGGAGATGCTGGCTGGGCCCTACATTGGCCTTGCACTTACACAAGCTCAGGAGCCTCCTCTGTAATACTGCTCTGAGCTGGGTGTTCTGTTCTTCTCAGCTTCCAGAGGTAGCCTGCCTAGAAGTCTTTCCTATGAGCACCACTAGGCAGCAACAAGGAGGAAACCAGACACGGCTCCTCCAGGAGGGGATGCGGACAGCCTACCCTCTCTCCTGCCACAAGCTGGGGTGGCTCCACACTCCGTCCTCACCATCAGAGCTGGAGAAAGTTGAGTGTGGGCATCGAGGGCCAGAGCCCCAGCCGACTCAGCGCAGGCCGCCATAGGGGTGGAGGAGCAGCCGGGCCCCCAGAGCGCGGCCTGAGACCAAGGCTATGAGTGCCAGTGTTCCTAAGTCTCCAAGATGCTGCCTGAGGTGACTTCCCGGAGCCCCATCCCCTGGGGGTGCTGCTGGGAGGCCCCCTCAGTCCTGCCCAGGCTGCTGATGCCCCTGGTAGAGGCACCGTGGTGCTGGGGAGCCCGCTCCCCTGCTTCTGGAGAGAAGAGGGCCCTGGGAAGCCTGCGGCTCCTGACACATCCACAGCCCCACCTCGGGAAAGCCCAGAAGTGCCCGTATGGGGACAGCCTCCCCCTCTGGGAGGAAAGCTTCACCCCAGGAACCAGAGCAGGCCAGGTCTGTGACACCCTCAGTCGAGCAGGAGAGAAGGCCTGCCTCACCTGCACCTGGTAGACCATGACGATTAGGGAACCCAGAGGGAAGGGAGGGGGCCGAGGCTGGGGAGTACCCTGGGGACAGCCAGACCGTGGGCGACAGCCAGGGCTCAGGGATCAGCCAGGGCTTGGGGGAACAGGCAGGCCTCGGGGATCAGCCAGGCCTGCGGTCTCACCCCTGGTCGAGGGTGCCTTGAGAGAGAAGTGTTCAGAGAGCACATCCCCCACTGAGAAAGACGTACGTGGCTAGGACGCCTGGGTTCCCCCAAGCAGGACGGGAGGGGACCTGGCCAGGCCTCCCGGTGTCAAATCGGGGGGAAATTCTTAAGGTAACTGTGCGGCGAACTGCTAGGTTGAAAGAATTCACTCTCATTGCCAAAAAGGAAGGTGGCCAAGACTGCAAAGGAAGAGGGAAGCGGGGAGGGAGCAGAGAGGCCTGAGCCGAGAGGGATGTTCATCTTCAAGCAGGAGATAAGATACGGATTGAAGTTCATCCCCGGCGTGGTGGAGCAAGAAACTTTATAGCCAAACCGACTCCCAACCGGAAAGGTCCCTGTTGCTCGACTCTTTGAATTATAGGGAAAACTAATTGGATCTTCATGTTTACCGTCAGGGAGACCGAGGGCCAGGCAGGATGTAAATCCTGGAGGTACTTTAAAAGGACAACCGTGACCTTTACAAGCCTCTAAACGTATAGATCTGTAAGGAGAAAAAAATTGATTTCCTGACCTTTGACTGCTGCGCCGTCTTTTCTGCGTCTTTCTCCGCAGGGCCCCGGCCCGCCGAGCTCTTCCTGCTGTTGTTTTTCTGACTTTTCTCTCTGTCCTGGGAGGGGAACCAGCGCCCGGCCAGCCTGGCCTGGGGAGAAGCCCTCAGCCCCAGAAGAAGCTTTCCAGGGCCCTGCAGTCAGGAGCGGCCGCCCCTCGGGGCACCCATGGGGTGCAGGGAACCCCCTTGCTCGGTGCCCACTGCATGCCCCGATGCCACCTGGGGACATGGGGCCCTGACTCAGCCGTGCTCACAGCAGCCCTGGCTCTGGGACCCTCGAGTCCACACCCATCTCAGAAGCCTGACACAGCCACCCCGCCTTCCCTAGGAGCAGAGGAGACAAGCGCAGGCCCAAACTAGGTGGGCTCGGAGTCCCAGGGTGGGGGCAGTCACTGTGACAGTGAGGACACTGAGGCCAGAGAAGGGTGGTGACTGGCTGCACGCATGAGGTCTGCTGCTTCCCAGGCCGCAGGGTCAGGAGCCCCCACACCTGTCCCCAGAGGGACCGTGTCACCAGCCCTCAGTGAGAGGGATTCCCTGAGGGACTATCCGGCCTTGCTAGTGTCCAAATCCACAGGGACAGGAGGGGACCTCAGAGGTCACTTTGGTCATGGCCAGAAGTGGGGAGCGAAGGGGCACAGGAGGGGACACCCAGGAAAGCGGGGCCACGGGGCAGTATCCACCTCCGGCCCCAGTGGGCCCCAAGCCATGACTCTTTGCCACGCAAGTGGGGGAGACCATGTCACGAATTGGTTGTGACTGAGATTTTCACCCTGCTTGTGAAACATCCGCCCTCTTACTTACCTAAGGGAAGCTTAGATCCATCTTTAAAACGAACCAATGTACATGTGGGGGGTTCCCACCAGGACTCCAACCTGAAAGCCGATGTCGTTTCCCACCAACAGAGGCGGAATAACAAACCCTGACACAAAACGCCAGTGCGAGACTCCGGTCGGCCGGCGGCGAGGACCTGTGTGGACGCTGAGGACCTGGGCCAGGGACGGGCAGCCAACACCACACCTCCCAAGTCACACCCCAGCTGCCAGACGTCTTCATCAGGACTCAGGCGAATCTGGGGCCTCTCTGCCGTCTCCCCAGCAGCTCTGCGGAGGAGGGAGGGACCGCGTACCCGCTCTGTGACTCTTCCTCCGGAACACAACTCTTCTTGGGGCAGAATGGACGCTAGGCCAGGTCAGCCTGTGGCCTTTCAGCCCAAAAGCTGTTTCCTCCCTTGCACCCAAGCACCCACCTCGGCTGTGACCCCGGCCAGCAGGGGTCCTGGGAGCCGCCACTGCCTTACTTGAAAGCCGGGGGTGGGGGGGAGGCAGCAGCTGGCGCGCTGGAGGAAGGACATGGCAAGTGGAAGATGAGCACTGTCACCGCCCTTAGGGGCTCAACCGCCGAGGTCACCTCAGGGACACCCAGTGGTACAAGTGTGTGACCAACCCCTTCACAGCCAACACTGGGGCTCCAGAGCTGAAACATCCAATGTGCAGCAAGATTTCCCTTCAACTTCCTGAAGACAAGGAGCTGGGATTTCTTCTCCAATCACCGTGCCTCTGGGTAGAACAGTCTGCTGGCTGAGAGGCAGGGCAGGACAGCGCTTAGGAGCTGACTCGAGTCAGACGGGACTCCAGGCCTATTTCATCGCTCACCGCAGGCAGACTTGGGTTTAAAGTGGTGTCCACACCCTGAAGCCGGCGGCTGGTGTGTCTACAGCGCCGCCCACAGGCCACTGCCCAGCATCTCTCCTGCTGGCGCCCGCCGCCCAGCTCAAGGCTCGGTCTTCCTGCCCACAGAGCCCTCCCTTCCTTCTCCTCGTCCCTGTGCCGCCCTGTGCGGGGCACCTCTCTATCTGCCTGGCCCTGCGCCCTCTGCCTGCTGCGGCTGATGCTCTGTAAACTGCTGAGCTGTGTGCAGCCCTGCACAGAGGCGGAGCAGCTTGGCCGCAGGCAGCAGGGACTTTGAGGCATTGCTCTGGCGTCACCCGCGGACGCTGCTGACCAGCGAGCCCCGTGTCCCTCTCCGCAGGGCGTCCGTGCAGGGCTGCAGCCCCGTCTCCACAGCGCTGCGGGAGACAGTCCTGGCTCACTAAATTAGGACAGGGAAGGACATAATCTCCCACTTCTGTTTCATTTCATCCCGGGATAAGGCCGAAAGAGGCCGTGCATTTCCCGGCCGGCCTGGTTTTCTTCTCAGTTGGTCTGCGTGTGTTTACCAAATAGACGCCCCGGGCTCCCTAGCAACTCGCAGCAGGGCGAGCCCCTCCTGATAGCCCGGAGACGGATGAATTGCTGATGAGAAGGATCCATGAAGTTTTTAATTGGTTTAGTTAGATTATTTCCAGTCAACAATTCCTGAGTTTAGTGGTAGAAGATAGATCTGTTTTCCATAAACGTTAAATGCCAAACTTTTGAATCACTCTGAGTAAAAACCTTTCCCTTACAGAGCTACTTGCTATCATTTGATTTACAGCAAAAAATAAAGGCTTGGTTAGAGAGTCTGGCCGCAGCATGGCACGCAGCAGGGGCGGGAGATACGAGCAACACCGGCTCGCGCTGGCACCGAGGACGAGCGCGGAGCCAGCTACCGCTCCGGGAAACAAAGAAAGGCGGCCTAACCGCCCTGGCTCCCTGGCTCTCTCCCCTCGCAGCGCTTTCTAGTTTGGAAAGGCTTCTCCGCCCAGTTGCGCGTGGGCCGGGAGACGGTCAGGTAAGACAAGTCACAGCCCAACAATCCGAGTGTCGTCAGCTGGTGCCCGGCGCCCATAGCACAGAGGGAGGAGTTAGACCCTGGAAGCGGGCACCGGCCCCAAGCAGCCTCAACACCGGCCAGCACCACCCTGTGCCCCTGCGGCCCACCATCCCCAGGGCCTGGGGGAGGCAGGAATCGAAAGCGGCCAGGCACCACCAGGGGGCAGCAGCCTGGTGGGCGCATTGAAGACACCAGGCCTGCTGTCTCTTCCCTCAGGGAGTGCGCTGCCCTGGGGAGCTGTTGGGGTGGGGCTGCTCCGGTGACTCCTGGGGTTGCTCACTTCTCCTTCAAGCCAAGTAAAGAGGGGGAGCAGAGATGACGCTCGCTGTGTGCTGTGGGGCCTGACTTTGCCATCGCTGCAAGTTCCCAGCCATCTCTGCACCCCGTTACCCTCTGCTCCAGTGGAGGACTCCAACCCTCCAAGCCCCAGCCACACCTCTGGGCAGCGGGTCACCCTGACACCACGTCGCCCACAGCTGGTGCCTGCGCCAGGCCCCTGAGCCCTTGGGACACGCCCCGCGCAGGGAGCCGACGGAGGCAAAGGGCCTCTGGGAGGTGCCCACCGCTGCTCTATTCCCATCTGAGGCAGAGCAGCAAAGGCAGAACGTCAGGGTCGGGCACAACAGTGTCTCCTCTTCCGACAGGTCGCTGGGGCCCTGGGGCAGCCAGCCTGGTGCTCCAGGAGGGCGCGCCATGTGTGCAGCTGTGGTCCTGGGTCACAGTCCCCGCCGAGCACAGAGCGGGCCAGGAGGCCAGGCGGGAACCACCAAGGCCCGCGCCAACCCCGGGTGAGAGACTGGCCTTCCCTGATGCGACAACAGCAGGCGAAGGCTGAGGGTGGGAGTCCTCGGCTGCTCGTCATCAGCTGGGTCTAGGAAGCAGCGCGTTGTCAAAACAACAAGCTGCAAACAGATGGTTTGTCCAGAGGCAGTGGACGCCTGGGAATTCTAGCTCGCACGAGGAGTCCCAGAGGACGGGTACTGGGAGGACGGCTTCTCATCGGTGCCCCTAGTACCAAGTCCAGGAGCTTCGAAGCAGCCTGTGCCCAGTGGTGGCTGCTGGGAGAGCCGAGTCGCAGCCGCATGAGCATCGCCAGCGCCAGGCTTCCCGTGCAGCTGCTACGACACCCCCTGCACCCAGCGGGGCACGACAGGCCCTCCTCTGGCCCGACACAGACCCTTCTATGGCTGCACGATGGCAAAATCGCCCGGAGACGCCCTCAGGACGCGCCCTGTCACCACGGGACACAGGGCCTTGATAAGTAGCCCGTGAAACTGGTGTCACAACCTAACCAGATTTTGTGTATTAAGTGCTGAACCCAGTACCTGACACACATGACACACTCGAGAAGCAGCTCACCGAGCAACCGAAGCAGTCAGTAACCAGGTGTCCATTGTTATTATTCATGCGATCATTAGTGATCGGCAATGACCTGCTGGAACAATTAGCTGTAATAAGTGTTACGGTGTCTCTGATAGACGATCTGCAGTAAGCTGACCTACTTTTCTGAGTTTACATCCTTATTGACAGCCTGAAGATACTAACGCGATCTGGAGTTTTCCACGGCCTGCTAGGGAACTCCGTGAAGGACCCTTTCGATGTGGGGTTATTGTTTGATGCCTGAGCGCAGTGCCTCTTGGAGCCCTCCCTGAACCAAAGTATCGCTTTGTTTTGTCTCGGACAGCGAGCGGGGTCGCTCTGAATTACAGCCCTGGGAATAGAGCTGACAGTAAATTACTCAGGCGGCCCCTGGCCGGGGCCTGGGGTTAGGGTTCAGGTAGTTAGTCCTGCAGGGCGGGGACACTTAGCAGCCGCAGATTGATGGGGGCTCGGAGGAGCTGGTTATTTGATCCCCAGGAAATGTTTCTGGGCCAGGGTCACCGCGGCCGGCGCTGGAAGCAGAGGCAGCCTCTTCGAGACCCCAAGTGCGGTCCAGTTAGAGAGGCAGCACCGGGAGCCAAGCGAGGGGACCGGAGACAGCTGGAGTTCGGGGGCCCCGGCTCTGTGTCCCAGGCCTCTCACCCTCTCTAGGGAGTGGGCAGCAGACACCAGGGTAGTCCCCAAAGCCTTTCCATCCACCCTGTGTCCTCTCAACAAATAAAACGGGGCTGGTCCTCTGTGCCACGCACTGATGGACGGATGGCCGGCGTCCTGCCCTCCACGGCGTCCCAGATCCGCGGGGAGAGGGGTCAGCAGTGACCCAGCAACTGACAGAGAAGGCGGAGCCCAGGCTGCTGGGAAAGCACAGAGGTGAACTGTGGGTGGGGGAAGGAACCCAGGGGGCCTCCAGGAGGCTGCGACTCCCCCCCAGCCAGAGTGAAGGAGGAGCAGGAGTCGCCTCGGGTACAGGAGGAGGGACCGTGAGCCCTGGGCCGGGTGAGACCCACAGTGCCACCGCCACCTGGAGAATCAATCGGTTTGGCTGTGGTGAACAAGCGCGAAATGAGGCTGGCCAGAAACAGGGCTAAAACGATTCTCGGAAGCCTCGGGTCGCCCAGGTGTCCTGGGTCGCCCCGCACACGGCTGGAGGGAGCGCCACGGGACCAGGACAGAGCAGAGCGAGTTCCAGCCGCCCTGCACAGAGCCCGGGGCCAGCCAGACACACTTGCCACACTTGTGGCAGGCCAGCTCTGGGGTGCAGGAGGGTGCTCAGCTGACGGGGTGCACAGCACCCAGGAGGGCGCCTGGGGACACCACTGGCCACCTTGGGGAGAGAGGCTCTCCCAGCTGTTCCCCGGGCCAGCAGGTGTCGTCACAGTTCCAGCAGCTTGAGCAGAGCATGCATCGCACACTTAGAGAGCCAGCGGGTGTGGCAGTGCACGCCCGTGGTCCCAGCACTCAGTAGGCTGAGGCAGCAAGATCATGAGTTCAAGTCCAACCTGGGCCACATAATGAGATCCTGTCCGAAAAACAAAACAAAGTAAAACCAAAAAACTCATCAAACCTGGAGAGCTAGCGGGCGCCTCTGCCTGTGTGCACCTGAGGGGAAACCTGAACACGTCCAAGGGGCACCAGGCTGCCCAACCAAACAATCCCCAAGCCCAGCAGTGTGAGAACAGACTCTCTTGTCACTGGTCTCTGAGGCAGGTCGGCTGCTTGGCGGCGGCCCAGCTTCCCCCTGGGGTGACGGCCAGCAGTCACCCCGCTGTGGCCACTGCACAGCCATGGCCTCCCCAGGGCTACTTCCGAGAATGCCAGGGTCTTTACCTAGAAGTGCACGTCCCCCCAGGAAAGAAAAAGAGCAGTGTGAGTGTGGACATGTACAAACCCTCCCAGGTGCCCTTGCCAGTGGACCTTGTTCCAGTCCGGAGGGAGGAGGGTTTAGGACCCAGACGGGGTCCCAGATGCCTGCCACAGGAGGGACGGTGACCCTGCATGTGGGGTGGAGAGCCCGCCGGCAGATGGCTCCCTGGACGGCAACTGTCACCCTGGTGTTACCACCGCCATTACCACTACCTGTAGGCCGCTGTGTGAGAAGCAGACTGAGCTCAGAGGGGCCCGGGATGAGGCTCTAGCCCTGCTCTCTTTGTTCCTTGGTTCTGGTCCTGTCCCTGGCCAGGGAGGTCATCCTCTGTTCCCTCCACGTCCTCTCTGTCCCCAGGAAGGTGGGATGGGGTTGGGGTGAGGGGAGCAGGGACCCTCACCAGAGCCCCGTGTTGCAGTGGCACAGACAGCGTGCAGGGGTTGAGGTCACTTGGCTGAGCCCCGAGGCGCAGGATCCCCAGGAGTGGAGTGGGTCACCTGCGTGTCTCCTGAACAGGCCTTCCGGGACGATTCCTACGCACACACTGGTCTGAGCAGCATCCAGACAGATGCAAGAGGTTTATTTATTGTCCTGCCTGCCCCGTGCCCCAGAGAGTGGAAGGCTGACTCGGATTCCCGAGCACAGGAATGAGCTGTCCTCTGGGGCCCCGGCTGGGCCAGCGCCGGCCTGGCCCCGAGATTGACCCAGAGCAGAGCTCTGTTCGTGACTAATGGTGCGGCCGACTGGCCTGGCTGCACTGTCTGCATCCCCGTGACCGCCAGTCCGCCCAGATAACCACAGTCTTGCTCAAGGGAACCCAAGCCCGGCTCAGGATCTACAGGTCCCAGAACCACCCCGGCTGGGCTGGAGGAGGGGCGGCAGGACTCTGGGGTCTCTGGAGCCTTGGCCGCCTCACCTAGCATGGGGCAGGCCCGGAGCACGGCTGCCACCGGTCTCAGGGGACAGCATCCAGGGACCCAGGAGCGGCAGCTGTTTCTTGTCTCCACTCAGCTCCTTCCAGCAGTCAGAGAATAAAATCACCGCGTGGCACACACTGGTGCATTTGGTCACCTTAAACCCAGGACGAGGTTAAAAATAAAACCACAGCATTCTCCCAGCCCAAAGCTGGGGAGCAGGAAGAGGCCTCTCACTGCTCTCCCCTTAACCACGCAGCGTGAGATGCTGCAGGCCTGGCTTGCAGCTTTCAAGTCCACAGCTCCGTCTCTGTCCTGCCTTTCAGAGCTGGGGCCAGAGGGTCAGGGTGGTCCCAGCTCTGGGGAACTAGAAGGCACGGGCAACCTCCAGCCTGAGCAGACGCCGGACGCCCAGGGCAGCACTCGTTCATTCTCTTAAGTGGTTTTGCTTGGGTGCTATTTGCCTCTTAGGTGACTGAGGACACAGCGGTACCAGGACCAAGGGCGGGGCTGACACTCTGTGAAGGGCATGCAGCAGGACACACAGGTGAACAACCCCTCTC